CAGAACAAAATAGTTTCTCGTTTAATAGTTAGTGCACATGTTGCCCTATGACAATGGTTAATGATACTCATTTTGATTTATTATTTTTCAGGTTTATCTAATTCTCACACACCTGTGAGACCCCCTAGTACCTCTAGTACTGGCAGTCGAGGAAGGTGAGTATGATATTATTGATAACTAATATTTTTTCTTTTTATCATGGAAGAGCTCAAATATTTTTAAAAATATTATATATAATTAGTCCCCATATACTTACTACCTAGATTCAAAAATTATCACGTTACATCCAATATTACCCTGTCAGTATTCCCACTCATATTCCTCTGCTCTGGAGTATTTTGAAGCAAATCTCAGATATCAGATTATTTCACTTGTTACTACTTCAGTATGGTGGTAAAGTGGTTAAGAGCTCAGGCTGCTAACCAAAAGGTCGGTGTTTCGAATCCACGAGCCACTCCTTTGAAACCTTATGGAACATTTCAACCCTGTCCTACAGGGTTGCTATGAGTTGGAATCAACTCAATGGCACACAGTAACAACATACATTTCTTAAAGATAAGGATTTAAAAAAATGCACAACCACAGAACCATTATCACACCTAAAAAAATAAACTGTAGTTCTTTAATATCAGTAAACATCCAGGTACTGTTCTTCTTTTTTTTTTTGACAAATGGTTTGTTTGAAACAGATTCAGATAAGCTGTGTACGTTGCCTTCAGCTGATAGATTCACATTAAAATCTCTTCTCCTTCAATAACTGATTTGTTGAAGAAATGTAATTATTTGTCCTATAGACTATTCCCCATCTCCCCATCTTGTCACTTAAGTATACTGTCTCCTGTATTTTATGTACATTGGTATTTATAGAAGGAGGTTTGATCAGGCTTAGGTTTGATTTTGGGAAAGGAAAGACAAGAATACATCATTGGTGGTAGTATATACTTGTATCGGGGCACATAATGTCTGGTTATCTTTTTGTGATAGCAACTATTGTTGATCATTGGTTAGATCTTTATTTTGTTAGTGGTTGGACATTGATATTTTCATTACTGTATCATTTCTTCTTTGTTAATTATTACTTTAGAATACTTATATAAAGAAATTCGTATCATGCGCTATTTGGTTATAGGAAAGGTAGTATAAATACTTGATTTTTTTTCTCGTTATTTACCTGTTTTCATAATAATAACTTGGTTTGCCAGCATCCTCCAAGGTTGACAGAAGAATTTTATTATCTTTATGAACTCAGATATTTAAACATTTTACATTATTTAATCCATTATTGATGTTATTTTTATTGATGCTTACACTGTTCCCGTTTTGACCTTTTAGAATTTTTTCAAGTTGGCTCCTTAGTCCTTTGTTTAAAATTAATGTTTTTGAAAATTGTGGTGAGTATCCTTAATCCTTTTGATAAAATGCTAGAAGTCTTTGAAAGCTTCCTTGTTTTCTAGCATGAAGAGATATTCCAGGTTTATCTTGTATATTTCCTCCCTCAAACCTAGAATCACATGTGTCTCCGAGAAATCATGGTCATGTTAGAGAGGAAATGATATTTGGAGAAATTTTCTGGTACTAGGGGCACTCATTGCTGCTGAATTAGTCATTGTTTTTAGGCCTTTTGGTGGACAGAGTTAAGAAACGGGTAATTGAATTAGGAGTAAATATTGTAATAAAGATAAAATACAATAAATATTGACTTTTTTTGCTCTTTAATTTGAATAATTTAGCATAATGAAAGTAAGATTTTATTTAAGAAAGTTATATGAATGTTTTTGTTTGTATGTTTATGTATATAAATTCTGAAGACTGGTCCTACTAAACACTTGCTTGACTTTTTATAATTATACTTCAAATAATCAGTGCTTTTAGAAGAACAGTACAGATTGAGTGAAAAAGGTGCTGATTCTCAGTAGCAACACAGTCTTAAAAGTTACCCACTTCTTTTGATAGCAGTTTCTCTTTGTGCCCTAGATAGAACTGATCAGTCATACCTGTCTGCTTATCCTATCATTACCTATCTTAGTCTGGGTACTCTAGAGGAGCAAAACCAGTGAAGCTTATATAAATATATAGAGAGAAATTTAAGAAAATGGGAGAAATTTAAGAAAATGGCTCATGCAATTGTGAGGAAATGGCTCACGCAGTTGGGGCTAACAAGTCCTAAGTCTGTGGGTCAAGCGACAGGCTGAAGACCTCTGCTGGCTCATGGTGTTGCAGGGACTGACAAACCCAAAATCTGCACGTCAGGTGACAGGCTGGAGGCCCTTGTTGGCTCATGGGATTGCAGGGGTTGGCGAATCCAAAATCTGCAGGTCAGGTGGCAGGTTGGAGACTTTTGCCGGCTTAAGTGCCAAGAATTGGAGGTGAGGTGATGAGAAGAGTTCAGGGTTGAGAAAGAGAGCGAGATCTGCCAGAACATCCATTTATATACTGGAGGCAGGCAACACCCCCAAGGAAGCTCCCCTTTCAACTGATTGGCTGCTCACATCAGATCACAAGCAAAATGGAAGGTGATTACATAATGTCTGCCAAATCACTGAGAATCTTAGTTTAGCCAAGTTCACACATAACATTAACCACCATAGTCCACCCCTTGGCAATTGACAACCTATACACATCTTCTTAAACCATACGTAATCACTAAATAAAGACAGTTACAAAGTCATACTTGTGCCTAACATGATACAACTAATGAGTAACAAGCAAAAACGCACTAGCCCTTTTTACATCTTGTATTTATAATAAATGGCATAAGGAAGGGAAGAAAACAAACATATTTACTATATATGCACACAGGAACAAGTATAAAGAAACAAGGAAATACTCATAACAATTACAGTCCTCATTTATGTAACTGGTCACGTGGTCATAGGTTTAGAGCTACCTTCTTCCACAACCCATTCTGTATTCCCTTTGCACTCAGCAAACACCTCATCTGGTCGTGGTTCTTTGCCTGGTGGGGTGGCCCAAACCTTTATTCCTGAAGGGTCTGGGCCATTAGTAGTCATGTTGGAATTGGATTGCTAGAAGTTGTCCATTGACTTTAATCACAGGGCATGGTAGTACTAAGAGACGCCCTAAGGCGTCTCCTGTATTCCAGACATATACTTCTTTACCTCCATTATGTACTATCAATCTGATTTCCCCTTGGTAATCAGGATTAATTACACCAGCCAATAGGATAATTCCCTTCTTTGCTTGTTGATCCAGAAGCATGAGGAGCCCAAAGTGGCCAGGTGGCAGTCTGAACTTCCAGTTCAGTGGAATGAGTATTGTATCTCCTAGTGAGAGCAGGCTTCCCTTTGGAACTAAGACCTCTCTACCCACAGAGCATAAGGTCGCGAGGACAGGAAGCAAAAATTTTGCAAGTGGGTCACTAAGGGTAATAGTGAATGGTGCCACTCCCATTTCTACCCCTTGACTGTTGGACCATGAATCCTGGCTATGAGAGAAACAGGACTATATATAGGACGCTGGTTTAGAGCATATACAGCCTCCTGGAGAACACTCCTGGAGAACATTGCCTGGCCTTGCAAGGTATTGCCACCTAGTTGGCACTGTAATTGGGTCTTTAAAATGCCATTCCATTGTTCTGTCAAGCCAGCTGCTTCAGGTTGATGGGGAACATGGTAAGACCAGTGAATTGCATGAGCATGGGCCCATTGCTGCACTTCGTTTGCTGTGAAACGAGTTACTTGGTCAAAGGTAATGCTGTGTGGGATACCGTGATGGTGAGTAAGGCGTTCTGTAAGTCCGCAGATGGTAGTTTTGGCAGAAGCATTGCATGCAGGGGAGGCAAATCTGTATCCAGAGTTAAGTGTCTCTCCCAGTAAGAACAAAACTCTGCCCTTTCCATGATGGAAGTGGTCCAGTGTAATCAACCTGCCACCAGCTTGCTGGCTGATCACCTCAAGGAACAGTGCCATACCGGGGACTTGGTCTCTGCTGCTCGCAGATTGAGCTCTCAGCAGTGGCTGTAGCCAAGTTGGCCCTGGTGAGTGGAAATCCATGTTGCTGAGCCCATGCATAACTTCCATCCCTCCCTCCATGATACTTGGTTCATGAGCCTATTGGACAGTGTCAGGAGTGACTAGGGAAAGAGTCTTTAACTGGTATCCACAGAACACATCGTTCTATCTACTTGATTGTTAAAGTCTTCCTCTGCCAACATTACCCTTTCTTTTGCACGTTCATATGTGACACAAATATCTTCACTTCTTTGGCCTTTTCAGAGGGTCTATCCACATAACCTCTTCCCCATACCTCTGTGTCACCAATTTTCTAATCATCTTCCTTACAAGTCCTTGACCATTCAGTTAAGCTGTTGGCCACACCCCATGAATCATTGTACTGTCACACATCTGGCCATTTCTCCTTCGAAGCAAAGTGAACAACCAGTTGCACTGCTTGAAATTCTGCCCACTGGGAGGATTTCCGTTCACCACTATCCTTTAGGGAATTCCCAGAAAGGGGTTGCAGTGCTACTGCTGTCCACTTTTGTGTGGTGCTTGCATATCACGCAGAACCATCTATAAACCAAGCACGAGTTTTCTGTCAACTGATTGTAAGGAACTCCCCATGAGGCCATAGGTGCATACTGGGAGAGTGGAGGTAACGTGGCAGAAGTGAGGACCATTGGCATTTGGGCCACTTCCTCATATAACTAACTTGTGGCTTCAGATTCTGCTTGAGCCCAGTCTCTTATATACCACTTCCATTTAATGATGAAATACTGCTGTGCACATCAAACTTCATGATTCTGTGGGTCAGACAACACCCAGTTCATGATGGGCAGCTCATGCCACAAGGTAACTTGGTGGCCCCTGGTTAAGCATTCATTCTCTATTAAGGCCCAGTAACAAGCCAAAAGCTGTTTTGCAAAAGGAGAGTAGTTATCTGCAGAGGACGGCAGGACTTTGCTCCAAAATCCTAAGGGTCTGCACTGTGGTTCACCAGTAAGGGTCTGCCAAAGACTCCAAACAACATGTATGTGCCACTGACACTTCAAGCACCATTGGCTCAGCCAGATCATATCGTTGAAGTGGCAGAACAGCTTACATGGCAGCCTGGACCTTTTGGAGAGCATTGTCTTGTTCTGGGCCCCACTCAAAACTTTGAAATGAGTCACTTGATAAATAGGTTGAAGTAGCACACCCAGATGAGGGGTACATTGCCTCCAAAATCCAGAGAGTTTCACAAGGCATTGTGCCTCCTTTTCAGTTAAAGGAGGGGCTAGATGGCAATAACTTATCCTTCGCTTTAGAAGGACTATCTCGACATGCCCCACACCACTGGACCCCTAGAAATTTCACTGAGGTGAATGGCGCCTGCATTGTTGTTGGGTTAATTTCTTACCCTCTAGTACGTAAATGTTTTATTGATAAGTCCAGTCATTGACACTTCTTCCTTACTAAGTCTAATCAGTATAGTGTCATCAATGTAATGGACTAGTGTGATGTCTTATGTCAGGGAAAGGTGATCAAGGTTCCTCCCTACTAAATTAAGACACAGGGCTGGAGAGTTGATATTCCTCTGGGGTAGTATAGTGAAGGTGTGTTGTTAGCCTTGCCGAGTGAAGGAAAACTGATTCTGATGGTCTTTAAAAACTGGGATAGAGAAAAAGGCATTGGTAAGATCAGTAGCTAGGTACCAGATGTGTCAATTTGCTCAAAGCAACGAAACCACATTTGGAATAGCAGCTGCAATTGTAGTTACTACCTGGTTAAATTTTCAGTAATCCACTGTCATTTTCCAAGATCCATCTGTTTTCTGCACAGGCCAAATAGACAAATTGAATGGGGATGTGGTAGGAATCACCACTCCTGCATCCTTCAGGTCCTTGATGGTGGCAGCAATCTCTGCAAACCTTCCAGGAATGCAATATTGCTTTTGGCTTACTATTTTCCTAGGTAGGGGCCATTCTAATGGCTTCTGCTTGGCCTTTCCTACCATAATAGCCCTTATTCCATGTGTCAGAGATCCAGTGTGGGGATTCTGCCAGTTGATGAGTATGTCTATTCCAATTATGCATTCTGAAACTGGGGACATCACTACAGGATTGGTTTGGGGACCCACTGTGAGGTGGACCTGAGCTTGTTGTTAGGTGCCATCGAGTTGATTCCGACTCCTAGCGACCCTGTAACCTGACCTCCATACGCCCCTACTCTGACTAGTGAGCCACAGTGACATTTTGGGTCTCCTGAAATTAGTGTCAGTTCAGAGCTAGTGTCTAGTAATCCCTGAAAAGTTTGATTATTTACTTTCCTCCAATGAACAGTAACTCTTGGAAAAGGCTATAGATTCCTTTGTAGAAGGCTTGGCGATATATTAACAGTATAAATTTCTGGCAGTGTAGTGGGATTCTTCCTCAACGGAACCTGGCCTTCCCTTAATTCAAGGGATTGTGGCTCTGTAAACTGGCCCAAGCCTGGGAATTGATTGAGGAGCCATGACTCACTATTTTGGCATTTCAAGTTAGACTGCTCTTCACATGACCTCCTATTCTTACACTTGTACAGATCAAGTAAATATTTAGTAGGTCTCCCATCCTGAAGACACCATGACTAAGTAGCCAGTTCCCTAAGTCCATGTGAGTCAGACTATTCTGATTATTGCTCTGACTCTGCTGCCCATTACGGTAACCATATCCACCTTGTCTTTGGCAATTAAGTGCCACCCCTTGACCCCTGGTACCCCGTGATTCAGGCATCTCACATTGTAGTTAGCTGTCTTAATTCAGTTAGGGCAGTTTCCACCATAATGGCTGACCTACATAGAAGAGGAATCACAGTAGTCTTTAAGGATGCTGAGGTTCCCTTAAAAAATTTATTCCTCACAGTTGTCGTGAAAGATGCATCCTCTGGGCTCTCCCTGAATTGGGTCTGTGTGTCCAACATGGTAAATCTACTCTAACATTCCAGTTGCCCTAAGCCTTTGGATACCTTCTTCTACAGTATACCAAGTCAGTTCTGACATTTCAAACTCATTTAGCATAGGCCACCTCTTGGTCCACTTTTCAGTCAACCAACCAAATAAACTATTAGATTCTAATCTCTCGTGCTGAAATATTGAATGAAGAATCTCTGCTTTTTGGGCCCTATCAATAGACTCAGACTGATCCAACTTTATGTTCATTGCCCTGTTATTCCACACACTTAATAGCCTTTCCCACACATATTCCCTAGGTTTCTATTTGTACATATTAGAAAAATCAAGCAGTTCTTTTGGAGTGTAGCATACTGCCTCATGGGTTACACTTTGTACTTCATGTTTTGGGCTTGCTGGGACTTAAATCTAGTTATAGGTCTAGAAACAAAAACAGGCTGCCCAGATATTAAGCAGTATTTTACAAGGCATGTGCCCAAAGCAACTCCTGAGGCAAGGACTCTTCAGACACAGCTCATCAGATGGTGGTACAAAGAATGATTTTACTGGGAACGTGGCTTAGCAGACAAAGCTAATCTCTTCTGATGGAAATGAGGGGTCTGGTTCTGTTGGCAGGGTGATTCAGCAGAATTTTAGGGATTCAGTGTCTCCAACTTCCAGTTTATCTGCCAGTATGCCCCCATCTCAAGTTTCAGGATTTCATTTCTTCTCAATCAGTGTCCTCACTTTAACTTTAGGCACCATTTGAGTTTGGGAATTCAGTTGGTGGTATAATTCAGTCCCTCTTAGGATAGGACTCTTGGTTTGGTTTTCAGCAATATCAGCTCTGTCACTACAAGAAATAAGGCTTCTTTCAGGGCACAGATAGCAAACTCAGGCCTTTTATGTGGTGCTTGAGCTGGGACTCTGAAGCCCTGAGCTCATCTTTTTCTGTTTCCACTTAGTCTAGCAAAAGTAGGACCAACCAGCCAACTTCATTATGCTTCTCAGTTTGACAAAAATGTTGAAAGGTATCAAATACACAATCATTCAGTTGTCTCTTAAAAGTATTTGATCTAATGGTGGTGATACTTTGTGTATTTCTATTGCCACATCACACAATGGATTTAAGTGGCCTCTTTAGTACTGGAGATAGAATCATAATACCTTTAAGTCTAGCCAGACTTGACAACCAATTCAGAAAACTCATGTTTAAGATTATGTTCCTCTAGAACCACTCTCGATACCATATGCTGTAGTCTGGGTTCTCTAGAGGAGCAAAGCCAATGAAGTGTAGATTCACTGTGGATTTCACCTCAACATAAAGAAAACAGAAATCCCTACAATTGGACCAATAAGCAACATCATGATAAACGTAGAAAAGATTGAAATCGTCAAGGATTTTATTTCTGCTTGGATCCATGGTGAACGCCTGTAGAAGCAGCAGTCAAGAAATCAAATGCCATATTGCACTTGACAAATCTGCTGCAAAAGACCTCTTTAAAGGTTAAAGAGCAGAGATGTCACTTTGAGAACTAAGGTGCACCTGATCCAAGCCATGGTATTTTCATTTGCCTCATGCGAAAGCTGGACAATGAATAAGGAAGACCGAAGAAGAATTGATGCCTTTGAATTACGGTGTTGGTGAAGAATATTGAAGATATCATGGACTGCCAGTGGTTAAGCGTTTGGCTGCTAACCAAAAGATTGACAGTTCAAATCCACCAGCTGCTCCTTGGAAACCCTGTGGGGCATTTTTACTCTGTCTTGTAGGGTCTCTATGAGTCAGAATCCACTCGATGGCAATGGGTTTTTTTGGCCAGAAGAATGAACAAATCTGTCTTGGAAGAAGTACAGCCAGAATGCCCCTTAGAAGTGAGGATGGCAAGACTTTGTCTCATACTTTGTCCATGTGATCGGGAGGAACCGGTCCCTGGAGATGGACATTATACTTGGTAAAGTAGAACTTCATCGAACAAGAGGAATACCCTCAATGAGATGGATTGACATAGTGGCTGCAACAGTGGGCTCAAACATGGCCGTGATAGTGAGGATGGCATAGGACCAGGCTGTGTTTCGTTCTGTTGTACATAGGCTTACTATGTGTCTGAGCCTACTCAATGGCACCGGACAATAACAATGGCAATATATATATAGAGAGAAAGAGGGGTGTGGTATGGAGAGGGAAATTTATTTCAAGGAAATATCTAATGCAGTAGTGGGGCCTGGTAAGTCCCAAATTCATGGGTCAGGCAACAGGCTGAAGACCTCAACTGGCTGATGTCGTTGTAGGGGCTGACAAACCCCAAATCAGCAGGCCAGGTAGCAGGCTGGAGGCCTCTGCTAGAACACAGGGTTGCAGGGGTTGCCAAATCCAAAATCTGCAGGTCAGGTGGCTGGGCAGAGACTTCTGCAGGCTTACGTTTCAAGAATCGGAGGTCAGGTGATGAGATGACTTTTAGGTCTAGAATGAGAGCAAGGTTTGTTAGACCAACCATTTAGATACTGGAGACAGGCTATACCCGCAAGGAGACTTCCCTTTCAACTGATTGGCTGCTGACATCAGATCACAAAATGGAAGGTGTTTACATAAAGTCTGCCAAACCACTGAAAATCATAGCTTAGCCAGGTTGACACATGACATTAACCACCACATTTCCTAAGGACATTCTGGGTTACTTGCTATTCCATATCCCTTTTCCCCAATCTCCTGCCCCTAAAAGCCAAAATAGCCTTCCTTTGAAGAGGTTTTATAAACCACTATTATTGATGATGTTATTTCTCAGCTGTTTGAGGGTAGAGAAAAGTCGATAACTACTTTTATGAAGAGAAGCAGTCATTAACATTCTATCCTCATTAACATTCTATCCTACTGGCCTGGGAGAATGACTGTTTACTGGACTCCTTAAATGATTTCCTGTAAGTACCTCAGACCATACAGCGTGATTTTAGGATCTTGCGAAGGTTTGATCCACATTTTTAAGAAGTTTGAAGCTCGGCTTATATCACATTTCTCTTCACTGTATCATGAGGTGACCTTATCTTCTGTAAGGTTAATAAATGGTTGTCATCTTAATGAACATTGCTTTTTTTGTATGACTTTTTTATATATACCATACATTTAAACATACGTGGCCTGTATTGTTTTTTATTAGCTGTGGGTCATCAGGGAGAACTGCTGAGAAGACAAGTCTTAGTTTCAAATCTGATCAAGTGAAAGTCAAGCAAGAACCTGGGACTGAAGACGAAATATGCAGCTTTTCAGGAGCTGTGAAACAAGAAAAGACAGAGGATGGCAGGAGGAGTGCCTGCATGGTAAGCTCCCACGTGGGTCCGGCAGTTATTCTTCCATCTCTGAGTCTATTAGGCTTAGTAGTGGCTCTGGGGATACTTATTTATTCTTGAACTTTAATACCTGGCACAATCTAAATACTATCTTTTTCTAACTCAACTTTTTTGTCTAAGGCACAGCTCTAATTAATAAGAAATAAAAGACATAATTGTTTTAAGCACTCGTTTGGAATTACGGTTGAGTTTGTAATTAGTATTTTTGCCACGATGCTAAATCGGGTTATGTTTTGTTCTGAATTTGTTAATCATCTCAATAGTTACGTTGAATCTCAGGCCAGAGAAGATTCTTGGCAATCCTGTATCTGTGTGCTCAGCATCCAGGCTGTTGACATGAAAGAAGTTTAATGATCAAACAGTTTTGTGATAGGAAGATTGCCTTTTGACTTATGAATTATTAACCATTCTAAAGTTCCTCAGTTGGAACATTTATTAATTATTATAATGTAGAATTAAATTCCTGTTTGTTTGGAAATTTCCATCTTTGTTTTTCTTCCTGCCCAGGCTATGCCTCAATTTCCGCATGGTTATCATTTAGGAATTTCAACTCAGAGTATTAGTATATTCAGCTCAGTATATGTAGATTGAGAGAGCTGGAGACATCAGAGTTACCTTGTTTTTGGAGCAGTGTCACTTGTTCATCCAGAACTTGATTTGGAAAGTACTCCCATAAAAACTGGGTACAAAAGGGTGGTGAAAGACTTACTTTACGTTTTGAGGATCTTCCTACATTATTAGAATGATTGATGATCAGAATATTTTCGAAGACTTCTCAAACATTACGCAGCAGATTCTTGTGTGAAAAATAGTATGACATAGTCAACTCTCTGTAGGAAAAGTATATCCATATGCTACGTCCCAATCAGTGTGCTTAAGGGTTTAATTAATTTCCTTAATATCCGAGAACCAATGTTAGAAAGACTGGACCTCGAAAATCATGCCTAGATAATTTTGGAGTTACTTTTACTCCTTTATGTCAGTAATGTTTACAAAATAATTTTAAGTTATTTCAATATATTTGTATCCATATTGGCATAACTTTTAAATAGACATACACATATCGCATACAATAAGGATTAAGTGATTCTTTAAGACTGTCTCGTTGTTTTATTTTAGTTGAGCAGTCCTGAGAGTAGCTTGACACCACCTCTGTCAACTAACCTGCATCTAGAGAGTGAGCTGGATGCATTAGCAAGCTTGGAAAACCATGTGAAAACTGAACCTACGGATATGAGTGAAAGCTGCAAACAGTCAGGGCTCAGCAGTCTTGTTAATGGAAAATCCCCAGTTCGAAGCCTCATGCACAGGTCGGCAAGGATTGGAGGAGATGGCAACAGCAAAGATGATGACCCAAATGAAGACTGGTGTGCTGTCTGCCAAAATGGAGGGGATCTCTTGTGCTGTGAAAAATGTCCAAAGGTCTTTCATCTAACTTGTCATGTTCCGACGCTTCTTAGCTTTCCAAGGTACCAGCGAAACAATTATTTATTTATTTATTTTGGGAGGTTTATTTTTATAAGCTTAAAAAATAGCAGAAAGTTAATCAGGACAGATGGCTTTCTTGACCAATGCATACTATTTTTATGAAACAAGGAGCCTATTATTCCTTTGGCAATGCCTTCAGAAAAAATGACAACTGAGTAATAAAATGTCCAAGATTTGAGTGCTATGTTAAAGATAAAGAATAGACTTTATCTCCTGACCTTCAGTTTAAACTTACTAAAGAAAACTAGATAAAACTAAACAATAAGGGGCAAGGGAACTCTGCTGGGGTGTTGGACAAAGTTAGTTTATTTACTTCTGAAGCTGAATTTTTTAGTCTATAGCCATTAATCTTAATAGGATCTATGGCATTGGTTTGGTTTGTGAATACCAGTTAGTCAAAATTGACTTTTCTAAAGTTTAACAACCCTCAAAATGCTATTAAAAGAAGAAGAAAAAGAAGTACTTTCTAAGAACACCTTCAGTGTCTTGAACTTGTTAGGTTTTACCCTCCTTCAAGGAATAGTTTCCTCTTGACCACTGAAAACAGTTATAATTGGTAGTGACTGCCTGTGTGCAGATTTCTCAGGGCTTTTCTGAGATAAGCTTGTAGGAATATCTCTTACTCATTAACTTTGGAATGAACAATTAATGAATTCCTTATTTAAATCAGAAAAACTTGAGGTAAAAGTGATTAAAAAGAGATCAGGGGAAATATGAGCATTGTCCTCAGACTGTTTTGACCTGATGACAGCTAAAATGGATTTCAAGCATTAAAACATTGATTGGTGAGTACCCAGGGCAAGCTGATGATACCAGTTAAGAAAGTGGAGCAAGTGTAATGGGCTGATATTTTGGGCATAGTTTTGTATTCAGCTAACTTAATAAGTTCAGACAAGTCACTGTTTTGGGGGGATTAGTTTCTGCATCTAAAAAGAGTAGCGTTTAGATTAGAAGACTTCTGGATCCTGTCCAGTTAACATTTTGCATTTTATGTTCATGCAGTCTCTTGTCCCGTATTGATCTCAGTGAACATAAAACAGTAGAGTTATATTTCTTTCTTTCAAATACCATCCTTCCCTCCCACCTCTCAGTTTTTTTTAAGTGAAAGTAGACCAGTGTTCCTGAGGGAAAATGAAGCTCCTTTCTGCTTATAGATTTAAAAAAAAATGCACACATCCTCTCAGATTACTGAGAACCAATGATTTTAATTAAACAATGCTGGCTGCTTACCAAAAGGTTGGCAGTTCAAATCCACCAGCCTCTCCTTAGAAACCCTATGAGGCAGTTCTACTCTGTCCCATAGGGTGGCTGTGAGTTGGAATGGATGCAACAGCAATGGGTTTTTTTACTCTCTTTGAAAGGTTCAACCTTTTGGATTAGAAAACTAGTGGATATAAACAGGGCTAGAATGTTTTTCTGAAGAATTACATGTAATTCTTACCTAAAGCTTAGGAGGTGTAGGTATTTGGCAGGGATAGAACAAGGGTCTTCTTTTTCTTTTCTCTTTTAGAAAACAAAAGGTTGGCATTTTGGTTTTGAAATTAATATTTTTAATACTTTTCTTCAGGTAGTGACATCTGCTGAAATGTCAGGATTTCATGACTGAATTCTTTCAAAGGCGGAATGATTTGGAGGAAATTGTAAACTGTTGGCACAGATAGATTACTTAGTACCATCCTTAGACTTACATTTATACATGTATATTCTTGTTTGTAAATGTTATTTACAGAAAAATATTTTATATATACTGTATAGAGAGAATACAAATGAATGATTTTGGAGTCTATATTTGGTAGAAATCCTGATGCAAACAGATTATAGAGACTTAGAGTTAAAAGATTAAAGGGTGCATGTGCTTGCAGGTATGCGTGAGTGTATTCTAGGCTTTTAACTGGTTATAAAAGAATTCGTTATTTTTGACATGTTTAATACATGCCAAAAGAGTACAAGATACCTGAGAAACTCATATCCTACACTCTTTTTAATTTGTGATTATTGGGTCCATGGGATGATAGTAATGGGGTCTCAGAGAACTGGTCTTATGCCACAAGTACTGAATATTAACTTTGTGCCAGGAAGAGACCCCCTTTTAATGTAGAGACACCATTTTTATAATGCTTTCCAGGAGGTAATTGTTGGAAGGATGACTAGGAAAATTGTAGGGGGTCTTACCATACAGCCTCACCTTGTGAGATTTGACAAGAATAGATCCTCCTTTCTTCCCCAAACTGGAAACTAAGAAAGTAAACTGTAGACTCACCTCTAGGGAGCGAGGTTCCTCTGGAGCAGGCTTTGTTATAATCTTGTGGACTAATTGCCTATTTCCATGTTTAGTGGGGACTGGATATGCACCTTTTGCAGAGATATTGGGAAACCAGAAGTTGAATATGATTGTGATAATTTGCAGCATAGTAAGAAGGGGAAAACTGCACAGGGGTTAAGCCCCGTGGACCAAAGGGTAAGTGTCTGTTAAGCTGATTTGTTGTGCATTCTTTAGGTGTCTGTCTGTACATCATTTTTTTTCTTTAGTGTAGCCTGATAAATTTTAATTTTTTAATCTTACCATCTAATGTTGATGACTTTCAAAATCTGCATATCTAGCCATGAGTTCAAGACTCTTATTTCCAGCTTCTTCAAACTTAACATGTCCCAGCTAAATCTTGATTTTCAGTCCTGTCCCTCAAAAAACAAAAACCAAGCAAATAACAGCATAGTAACCACCCTCTTCCATATTCTCCGTCAATAAACGGCATTACCATTCACCCGTTATTCATGCCAGAAACCTATTAGAATGAAAAAATCAAGAGTGATTATCATGCCAACCATTTCTTAACCACCGTTAGCACTCTAGACAGCATTTGTAATTTCTCATCTGACTATTGTAATAATCTCTAAAGTAGTCTCCCTGCTTCTGCTCTGCCCCCTTACATTCTGTGCTGTACAGAAGCTCTTTAAAAAAATATAAACAAGCCTGTCTCTTTTTTACTTAAAATCCTCTGATAGCTTCCTGTCATGTTTTTAAAAAATCCAAAATTCTCTCCTCACTTCGTTTAGATTTCTGCTGAAATGTTACCTCATCAGAAAGGCTTTTCTTAGCTACACTATCTATAATAGATACTTGTCAGCCTCTCCTACTAGAATATAAAGTCCTTGAAGTAGATCTGTCTTGTTCATAGCTGTTTAGAGTGCATAGGATATGCTCAGTAAATATTTGTTGAATGAATGAATGAACAAACTAGACTCTGCAACCAGAACTTTAAGCCTAGAATCTACATGAATATGTGTAGGTACCTATGTTACTATTTTTTTTTAATTTGGTCTATAATTGATCTATGAAGGTGACTGATAATATTTTGGTGCTTTTTTTCTTTTAATAGTTATAATGATTTATTTGTTATTTTCTTTATTCTGGTGGCATTTTGTGAAATCATATAAATGGAATAATTCTGTAGAGAATTTGAGTTAAAATAGCTTCTCATGAGAAAGCCTGATCTCCAAAGACACAAAATATCTTTCACATAGTTCTGTGATCATCAGGCTTATGTTGGCTCTTATCTGCTGTATATACTTGCAGATTCCTTTTTCCACTGTCTGTCAAGTGATATACAAATTTATATTGATAGAAATATAAGCAAATAGAAAATTATAAATGTGAAATGCATTTCAGTTTATTTTTGATTGTATAAAAAAATTCTGGATTGAGAAGACATGGACATGTTTAATTTTGAACTTGGGTGGAATCATTTGAAGAAAGGGTTAATAACAGGGATAATAACACTTGTCCTGCCTGCCTCAAGGAATTACAATGAGGAGCAAAGAGTGATAGTTTATAGATCACCAGGTTCTTTTGCACAATGTGCTATATGTTGCTTTTATGACTCCTTTCTATTTGTATAAATAATCAAGAATTAATAGTAGATACCTTAATTATCAGATTAGAATAAAGGAACTCTATCTTTGATAAGTTCGATTAACGTAGAACAGAAGATCGCCTTAAAACCAAATGGAAAGGAAGGTGGTTTTGAGTGTATATGTTTAGTTGGATAGCTAGTACATAGGCGGCGTTGTGTTCAATTCATTGGGATAATACATTGTAGTGATATACTTCTTCTCAAGAATATCTAATAAGATAGACAATTATTTCATGTGTTTCCTTTTCTTTTTTGGGCCAGAAATGTGAACGTCTTCTGCTTTACCTCTATTGCCATGAATTAAGTATTGAGTTCCAGGAACCAGTTCCTGCTTCGGTGAGTTGTCAACCCTAGTAGCTCCCTGAAGAAGAAGTCTAGTGTGATACTTAAGTGAATGGGCTCTGGCCTCACATGGTTTGTGTTAAAACTCAGACTTCTGAGCAAACTCAACTTCTTTGAGACTCAGTTTTCTTTTCTAATACTATTTTTTTTACCTCATTGGGTTATTCTAAGGATTAATAGGCATATAAAGTGTTTAACAAAGTACCTGATAACATAGTAAGCACTTATTATTAATCAGAAATTTTCTTAGGGCTAAATAGAAGTGAGATTCAGTCATTAAAACTATAATTTGTTTTTGAGGATTTTGTTGCTATAATACTTAATGAATTTATTACCTAAGAGAAACAGGTATAATTGAAAGAATATTAAATTAGGAGTCAGAAGATTTGACTTCTTTTCTGCCATTAACAAACTTTATTAATTTGAGGAAATGTCATAGTTTTCTGCCTCTACCTTTAAAACTGTAAAGTGGGATTATTGGCCTAAATTATTTCTAAGATTCCACTTCTTCTAGGCTCTGTTGGGAAGAAAACAGTCTTTGTGAAAATATGCATTTGAATAAAAGTGTGAAATTGAACCTTTCACACTAACTCTGCCTTCATAAACCTCTTATATGAACAGTGAAGACTGAGAAAAGATTGGGGAAAATTTTCAAGTCAATGCTTTTTGTTTATCTGTAAGATGACTTTTGTAAGGAATATAGGCTCTAAAATCCTATAATAAAAGCAAGACCAGAGGTGCTTGGTGCTTCATAAGTGGGATGAGAATATGCTACACACATTTTGTTAGCCGTTAGTTGTTGAATAAGACACTCTTGAATAGCAGACATGTTATAGAATATTAAGTGGTAGTAGCCTTATATACCAGGTAGGCTGAGAAACGAATTTTAAAACACAAAAGTCTTGACACAGGAAGATATTTTGTACCAGTAGTAATCATCTGATTCTCAGAAGTGTGTCCAGTCTCCACGTTCAGGTACTTCACATTACAAAATGACTTTTAAATGTTTTCTTTTCATAGATTATTTAAATAACTTCATTGTATTCAGTTATATCCCAAGGGTAGAAATTTATGGCAGAGGGAGGTGCTAGTGCTTCCCAGCATGATCAGTAAATAGTTAATAGAAGTTTTACTTGTGTAGTTTCTCCCTCTATTGCTGTGTCTAGAGTTCTCTGTTATAAAGTTACGTCCTCTAAAATGCATAGCATTCTAATTATAACATTGATGCATTTTTTAATAGGTCTTTTTTCCCCCCTTATTCCTTTTTTTTTTTTTCTTTTTAACTCTTCAGGGGTCATAAGTAAAATTCTTTCAAATCTGCTTGTCATTAAAGATAGGACTTTGGGGACTTCCATTAAACACTGAGCCTGAAATGTACTCTGAATGAATAAAATGTAATTTTCGTGGTATGATTGGGCAGAAGATTTAAAGGACATTTACTATACCCCAAATTTGCAAGCAGCTGCCTCAATCACACATTTTTTTCCCTAAAATTATATGCTATAGCATTTTCCAATTAAACAATTTGGCATTTTTAAGGAATTCTTATTTGTCCTTATTTATTTCTTTTAGATACCAAACTACTATAAAATTATAAAGAAACCAATGGATTTATCCACCGTGAAAAAGAAGCTTCAGAAAAAACATTCCCAACACTACCAAATCCCAGATGACTTTGTGGCTGATGTCCGTTTGATCTTCAAGAACTGTGAAAGGTTTAATGAAGTATGTTAGCTTCCAAACTATAGAGTTTTGGGTTGTTAGTTTCTGTTTCTTTGCTTGTTTTGTGTTTTTGGATTTTGTTTTTCTCACCAAAAGGTTTTTCTAATTTGATTAAATTTTTTTTTTCTTTTTGCTTCATTCCTGTTAAAAGTAAAATTTGATTGTATCCATAGCTCCAAAAAAGAAAGTTGACTGTGTGTAGTGTGGAATATGTACTTAAGTGTAATAAATTAAGAATATCTTTGAGTATCCCTTCCTAAATGAGTTGAGGATTGGGATAAATATGGCAAGTAGTTTGTAGTTTAGTATATTTCGAGGAAAATAATTATAAATAGCTTGCATTTCGGGTACATTTAGGTAAGGCTTTGGTTGGACCTGTACCCTTGTCTTTAGATTTTATATTCCTGGCCATATAAATACAGAACCCTGAAATCATAAACTAATCTCTGGTGGCCCATCTTGGATAGGAGCCCAGAGTATATAATGTTGAGTTTTCTGATCTCAGCAATGTAACTTTTATTAACTTTGATTGTGTATTTTTTTTGAGGATAAAGTTTAAGGGAAAGTAGTCCTATGCCTTGAGAAGAAATGTGATATATACTTTTTTCAAGGAAATTGTCTTTGTTATCTTTGGGATAAAAGCAAATCTCTTATTGTTAAAAAGATTTTCATTATAAGAGAAGAACATGGAATTTGATGAGAATCCACAAAACCTTTAAAAGATTAATACCAAAACTCTCCTCTTTATTGCTTATGAAATTTGGGTGCCATGTGACTTACTAAAATTAATCACACTGAATTATTTAAAGTGTACCCATAGCTGTCATTGGAAGCACCCAGATGACTTTTTAAATTAAAGAAAAATCATTGTAAGATGAAAAGCCTAGTCACCTTTATAGCAAACCTAGAGGACAGCAATATGTCACAGGATATAGTAACAACTTTCTAATTTGAATATAAATTAGAAAATATATCCCCAGATTATGTCCAACTAAATATCCTTTCATGAACCTAGAGCTGGCATCTGGTAAGAAGCCCCCTTTTACCTGCTTTAGTAATAGTTAAATAATTTACAACGAACATAATGACATATAGATAAAATTCTAAACAAGTGGTTTGTTGAAGGTTTGACCATTTGTTTAAACAACATATATCATTTGTTTCACAGAAATTTTTCTTTTAAATACATTGAAGTACTCAGATCAATTTCTGTTCAGGTTGACCTCACTAATTCAGAATTTGAGACAATTATCGAGGTTTCACAGTAGCTTTAGTAACAGATCTTTGTAAAGAAAGTGGTTCCATGTTCTATAAATTTTAGAAAGCAGTTAACCTGGTCGTAGCAATTTGTTCTCCCTAGTATGGCTGACTTTCGTCACCAATCCTATACAGTCTCATAACTTTAGAAAGGATTATAATTTCCCTTTTTTTTTGACTCTGGTATCCTTTTTAGATGATGAAAGTTGTTCAAGTTTATGCAGAAACACAAGAGATTAATTTGAAGGTAAGCTTTTCAGACCATGCAAACTTGGTGAAGGAATATGCATTACCAATAGGTGAATATTCCTATCTTTTGCTTGCAGGCTGATTCAGAAGTAGCTCAGGCAGGGAAAGCAGTTGCATTGTACTTTGAAGATAAACTCACAGAGATCTACTCAGACAGGACCTTCGCACCTTTGCCAGAGTTTGATCAGGAAGAGGATGATGGCGAGGTAACTGAGGACTCTGATGAAGACTTTATACAGCCCCGCAGAAAACGCCTAAAGTCAGATGAGAGGCCAGTACATATAAAGTAAAATGACATGGACTTAAATCACTTGTTTAGCAAAAAAGAAAGAGAAGGAAAAAAACCAACAAAAAAACCCTTTTATTTAAGTGTTGCTACTGTGGCCACCTTCTTGAAGCTGATAGCTTTTACACAGTATTAGATTGAAATAATGGACAGAAAACACATTCTTGTCAAAAAAGGGGAGAAAGAACTTAATTTGCAACTTTAAAAGTAAAATCAAAAGGCAAAAGTGAAATGATATGAAGATTTTTGTTAGTAAAGGGTGGTTTTCTGATTGTTAGAGACGGACGAATGTTGATGATCACGTGGTATTGGTTGGTCCAGGATACTGGGTGTACTAGTAAATATTTGAGGGCCATGTAAATTGTCTCTTTGGACTAGAGTGCAGTTATTAAACAACTTTTATGCCTCCCCACAACACACATACATACTGGGTTGTTTTCTACTTAAAAGTAGCTCAGATTCCACTTTAATGTCAATTCAGATGTTCATTGAATCATGCCATTACTTTTTTCTCATTTTGATGCTGTTGGGCCTTAGTTTTTATATTGGTTTAAAGAGCTCAACAGTAGTTTCATTTTCTACTCATACTTAGGGTCTAGGAAACATGACCATTGATCATCATTTAAATCATCTTTAATTGTCTGTTGAACTTAAGAGCAAGGTGTGGTTGTAATAAATATGGTAACCTTTTCAGTAGTGGATCATGTACATTTTTAGTAGTCATTTTCAGAAAACTCTTCCACACAAGTACACTTCCCAGTCAAATCATCTGATCATACAGTTATTCCCATGAAAGGCAGGATGTTTGTTTTAAAATTAATCTAGTTTTCTGTACATTTAAATTTGCTTGAGAAGGTGACAACTGGCTCCTATCCAGTCTTCCTTCGTATCAGTTTCCTGATAGACCACTATTGGCAAACAGTAATCTGTCAACTACCAAATGTGTAAAATTTTCTGTATTTCACTTTGTCTTATTTGTAAATAGTGAACTAAAACTTCTGGCAGATCAGCAACATTTGCTGAGGCTGTTTTTTAAGCTAATGTGTATTCTTACTAATGTTCCTATCAAGAATGGATTTGTAATATATGCTGTCTATTTCTAATGTTCACATTCATATTTTGAGGTTCTATCTTATTTTAATAGAGAACAGACTTCTCAAAAAATCTTCAGAAGCAGCTTATTATTGAAATATCAGAATATTGAAATAAACCCGGTGGGGTTAGATTACTCATCCGTCCACAAAGTGGGACATTTGCATGGACTGGGGGCCTAAAGGACTTAGAAGAGACCTGTAAGTAAATCCTGAAAATGAGCCAATCCCCACTTGAATGGTCACTGGAGTAAACCCACCTCTACTACCCTGATTACAGCATCTGAGGCAGACAAACCAACTTGGCTCTGGTTCATTTTTCTTTTCTTCATTTGTGATGCTCAGATCCCAAAATGTGCATTGTAGACTGTGTACAGGCTTCTCTTTTGTTGGATTAAAAATTTGAGTCCTACTTTTATATGGACACATTAGAATATGAAGTGACCAAAATAGAAGAATTTGCCATTAGATGTTTTTCAGATGTCAACAAATTGTGGCAAATCATTTGCCTTTTTAAAAATTCAGCTTAAGCAGTTCAGACAGTAGACTATTCAGAAAAGAAAATTATTTGACATAATTGTTTAAGAGGTAAATATTTTTTAGCACATATTGAATCAAATAAAGTGCTCTAAAGAAATTATTATACAAATTCCTTTGGGTTGTTTTTCTTTTCTTAACAACGGGTGGGGGTAAAGAAGAATATGATTCAGGCCTTCTGATGATGTATTTAAACAGTATTGCTTTTATTGTTGCTTTTGCCTTACTTTATTCCCTGGCTTACTTTTAGCTCCTCTTTCAGTTTTTGTTATAAATATACATACATACATATATATATATATACACACACACACATATATAAAAACTTCAAAAAAGACACCAAGCTGTTTTATCATTTTACTCAAATTTCAAATTTCTAAGAAGAGTTTTCTTATTAGAGGGGCAAAATCATTCAAAAATACTTTTTTCTATGCCCTTATCCCTCTTTCCCACATGTTTTTTATTTCAATTTAAAAGTAGGCATATATGGAAGGGCACATTTTTGGAAAACTTTCTAAAGTGATGAGTAGCAGTATAACTTCCTTTTGTCAAGGCTTTGAGCCCTGATATTTTGTACTTACTCTTCACGCTTTCCTTTTCACGGTTCTTGATGCTAACTCATGAATAGGTTCTGCCATCTGAGGGGAGAAACAAATTTTAAGAAATATTTATTAATATTTAAGACCTCAAAAGATGTGTTCCCTTAAAAATATTTCCTTGTTAGATGGAGTTTATGTTTTGTTTTCTGTTTCTTTTAATTTAAGATTGGTTATTAAAAAGCCACTTTATTGTCAATGTTTAACAGGCTCCATTTTTGTTAAGAGATGATATTTTATACCTCTGAGGAATTATTATTAAATTGATAGCTATCAACAAAGCACCATTAAATGAAAGTGTTCACTTCAGATTTTATTGAAGCTTTTTTCTTGCACACTGATCACTGTGTTTCTAAGCTGATTTGTTCAACTCTAATACAGACTGTGGTAAAAAGTGTAAAAGCTTGATCGCTATCGAGAGAACTTGTATGTGTTCCTATTAAATTTATGCTTTAAAAAGACTAACATTGAATATCTGTCAATACCTGAAGGCAGTTTGTTTTGATGCTCTTTTACATTTGTATTCTTTGTTAAAAAGGCAGTATGTTAGTCTTGGGGGAAAGATCTAATGTTTTCTTAAAAGCTTGCTAAGTTTTTGCCACACTTCAGTTTCCTTCTTCCATCAGAAAACTAAGAACAAAATGTTCCTCGATCTGTCCCGCTGGCCTAAATTTGTGTTTCTCAGCACTTAGCTCAGCTGATTCACTGAGTGAATGAATTGCTTTGCAAGGTCAGGTGTTTGAAAGTTCCAAAATATGGTTAGATTTTAGATCATGCTCTATATAGAAACATCAAACCATTACTACAGAGAAAGGATTTAAGTTATTGGGTCCACTGTTAAAATTATTATTATTTTGGAATTAACAGGATACTTTCTGTCTTTCTTCCACAAGGGAATTTAAAGTAATTTTGTAAAGTCGGTTAAGTCACACCTTTTTTTCTAAAAGATCTTGATATTTTTTTTTTTAGTTAATCCAAAGAAATAATGTCTTTAAATAGAAGAAAGAAGTTTATAGTGTGCAAACTGTAGATTTATCAATTACCTCAGCAGGTATCCTGCCATATAATTATTAGTGATTAGTGTTAATAAGCCAATAGATTCAGGTTTTCTGACTATGCCCTTGGATTGTGGCCTACCATATGTTATTAAAGGGTCACTTACTATCCAAAAAGGGGGTAGATGCTGTGTCTCCCTCTCCCTTGGCCTTTAAATCCCTTACCTACCCTTGTTCACACACAGCATGTGAAGTATAAAAATTCTGTTTCTTGTTGAAGTCAGCTTTGCGTATTTGCATACTCAGCATTGGATCAGTCAGTAGTTTTATAAAAATCTACCCACCCCACTTCCCTTAATTAAAACAATCAAATTCTTAATTCGTATCATGAATTCTTAATGCATACCATATACATTAATGATCTGCTGAAGGTGAGATCCAGTAACAAGATTTTTGAGGTGCATCACAGTTTGATCATTTACCAGACTTGGATTTTTTCTTTTATTTCTGTTTTGGTTATCTCCTCCTTGAAAAAGCAATAACACTGCTTTAAGTTTGTTGCCTAATAGCATGTCATAATCCTCTCCATGATGGTGGTTTTATAGGAAAGTTTGTATGCATATCACCCAGTCTATCTTTTAAAAATTAAGAAATTTAAATGTATGCTGGAGCTAATGACAATATATTGTGGCATTTTATTTTACAAATTGGGGAAAGTTGCATATTTTTTTAAAAGTAGGTATTTGAGTAAAAAAAAAATTGAAGGTACTTTTTTAAGAAAAAAAAAATTTATATGCCACAGTTTACATAGACATTTCAGATTTCAACATGTACTGTTGGATATAATGGTTTCTTTCACTTGGTCAAAATGCATGTGTAGCATTTCTTCCATTTGGTTTCTTGTGTTTGCCTATTTGGTCCTTTATATATTTTTTATTGTATGTGAAAAACAAAATTATCTTCAAAAATAGGTTAATTTGGATATATTTGTCATGTTGAACTGCAAAATGTACAAAATTAAGTTTAGCCCTTTTTTAACAAGTGATCTTTAAAATTAAAGATGCTGTTCTTTTAAATTCACCAAATTTGTATATGGGAAGGGACTGAAATGATTTTGTAAGTGCCACTGCAATATTCTCTTTCAACTGGGGTCTAAATTTCAATTTTAAGAAGGAAATGCATGTCTGCTCCTGTTCTGAAAATAGTAGGCATTTACTGCGTTTAAAAACACAGTGAAACATGTATATAAGCCTATTAAAAAAAAAAAAAGATTTGTACAATTTGAAAGCCTGTTGATTTTCTATATAGACATACCGACACACGAAAGGGTTAAATTCACAGCTTTACTAGTTCTTGCTCTCAATATTTCAACCGGTCTCCTCCCTTCATATTATTATTTTTGCACATAGTTAATGCCCTTCAATATGATTCTTAAAGAGAAAGTGCTGTTTCTGTGGTATCGTATTCTCTAAATAATCATATTTAATTTTTTTTTTTAAACAAAGTTGCAGTTTCTAATTGTTTCGTTCCTGTGTTATTTGCTGGTGTGTAATAAAAGCAAGTTTTTTCCTTTCATGGTTATTTAATACATTAGCTGCCTGTAAATATTTCTTGTTAAAATGCTCTGGAATGTATTGTAGAAGTTGTATTAGATTAGTTTAAAGCTTTGTTTGAAAACCACATTGTTTTGGTTATTTCTATTAAATTAGAAAATTGAAAAAGTTTCCAAATGAATTCCTTTTTTTTCTCCTCTGTGAGTTGAGACTTAAGAATTTTAATTCATTTAATACATGTATGCTATATGCCAGGTATTGGAGATACAGTAGTGAACAGAATAAATACAGTCCCTGCCCTCACAGTGTTTATAACTCTGTGTTAGGGTAATGAATGTTGTGATAGACATTAGCACAGAATATACTAGGAACACATAAGGAAAGAATCTAACCTAAACTTTATTGGTCATGGAAGCTCTCTCATAAAAGATGAGGACACTGGACCAGGCAAAGAGAGAGTGAGAAGAGAATAGAATATGTGTAAGCCTTAGAGTTGAAAGACATTTATTTATTCCAGGAACTGAAAATTTCAGTACAGCTGAAACAGTGGAAGTTGGAGTGGTAAAGTACTATGCTGGAGATTTGAGCTGGATCTTCTTCAAGTAGAGTCTTGAATATAGTGTTTGGAACTTATACTGAGGGCACTGTGGAGCCCTTGAAGAGTTTTAAGATGGATGAATGGGTGTGATGTAATCAAATTTGCCATTTTGAAAGATCATTTTAACGTGAAGAATGAATTGGGGAACATTGGAGGTAGAGACAGTTGTAGGCTGTGAATAATCCAGGTGAGTGCTAAACTAGCCACCTGGCAGTGAAGATGAGGATAACAGTCAAATTTTAGAGACATTTACAAAGTAAAGTAGATGGGAACGAGTGCTAATTTTTGTTTACAGCAACATGTTAAAAAAAAATTGGGATAGCCAGGCACGTCTGAAAATACCTTGTGAAGGGAGGCAGGTGTTGGCAAACTTAGAAGGTGTGCATTATTTGCGTAAAAATACGGTGTCTGGTGTGGAGGTGGAGACCATAAGACCCATTATGTAGGAGTCAGTTCTTTTATTCATCATTGAATATGCCTAGCACATGGTAGACATTCAGTAAACAACTGTTGAAGTTGTGGGAACCACTAGCAAAATAGGTGGTAGTTCATGCAGTAGAAGAGGATGATATCTCCTAGGAAGTTTATAGAGTGAGAAAAGTAGAATACTTAGGATAGCAGTAGAAACATTTTTTAAAGACTAGAAGAAGAAGGTGATGGTTGCCTTCAGTCAGCTCCAACTCATGGAAACTGTATGTGTAACAGAATGAAATATCCCACACAATCTTCATGATCATTAGCACGTTTGAGTTCATTGTTGTTGGCATTGTGTAGTGCCTTCCAACCTAGGGAGGTCATCTTCCAGCACTATGTTGAACATTGTTGTGATCCATAAGGTTTTCATTGGCTAATTTTTGGAAATAGATCACCAGGGCTTTTTTCCTAGTCTGTCAATCTGGAAGCTCCGCTGAAACCTGTCCACTGTGGGTGACCCTGCTGGTATTTGATATACTGGTGGCATATCTTCCGGCATCATAGCAACATGCAAACCACCAGAGTACAACAAACTGACACGAGGGAGACTAAAAGTAGTACTCTCTAGAGTGGTACCAGGAGAGTGGTAATGGAAGACAAGGGAAAGGCGTTCAAGAAGTGGTATTGGGGTATCAGCGATCTCAAGTGTTGGCAGGAGATGAAGTAAAGATAAATGTGGAATTGAATTTAGCGATACAGAAGCCATAAATGACCCTAATAAGAGCTGTTAGAGTGGAAGCAGCAGCCAGAGTGCAGTGGGTTAGATGAATGAGAGGTGTGGAAGCGGTGGTTACGTGTAGACTGTAAGAAATTTGACTTACTTTTTCTTTAGGCTGTCCAGAACTGTCCATGAGTAACCAAATAAAACATCAAACTGGAATTGCTAATTGTTATCTTTCTACGTGCATTTTGAGTAGTGGAAAAACATGGATTTTGCCATTGGGCAATCCGTACTGGATTCCGACTCTGTTAAATATTTCCTTAGCTCTTGAATATTTAGCTTGTTAGCACAGAAAGTAGAAGGAATATGCAGGGAGGATCTAACCTGAACTTGTTGAGTTAGCTTGTTCTTCACTAATATATTGCCCTTAGACTTCTAGACTCCAAAAAAAAACCGTTAAAGCTCTGAATTTTTAGGGAATAGTAAATGCAAAAATGAGTTGGTAAGATAGAACACCTAATGGAAGATTTTGTCTCAAGCTCCTTTTTATATTACCTGGCCTCAGGTGGTGGTAAACATAATACTGTTCTTCCATTTGTAAAGATATTACTGTTTGTGGTCTGGAAAGTTAATACAAAAGGACATCTGTTTCTCACAACATGGAGACTGCATACCTCGAGGAACCTCCTGATGGTAAAAACACCTGAAATGCTGGATAAGATATATATCTTTTAAATGCTTAGCTGAGATAGCAAGGAAGAAAGATACTTAACCCCCTCCCCCTCAGTGGACCCAAGCAACATTACCTGTGTAGCATTTTAGCCAAAAATATTTGGCCTGAATCTAATAATGTGGAATAATTAGGCAAAACTGGAATGTGGGATGTTTACAAGACCCCGGTCTAGATTTTCATCAAGAGTAAATGCCACGCAAAACAAGTGGGGAGGCTGTTGTGGATATAACAACCAAATGCAATGCGTGGACTAGGATTTGATTTTGAATTAAATAAACCCAACTGTTAAAGACATTTTGGAGACACCTGGGTTAATTTGTATATGAACTCTTACATGATATTATGGAGTGATATTTTCTTAGGTATGATAATGGTTTTTATGCTTATATAAGAGAATATCCTTTTTCTTAGGAAATGCATGCTAAAATAGGGATGAAGTGTCATTCTGGTTTCAAATGGTTAGGCAAAATGTATATATAGAGAGAGAGCAAATGTGGCAGAATAATTGGTGAATCTTGGTGAAAGATGGGTGTTTATTGTCATCTTTTTTGTGAACTTGAAAATTTTCAAAATAAAAATGGTCTTATTGGGGGCAGAACAAAAAACATCCAGAGAAGTAACAGGGCTCAAAGGACCATTGCTCTGAGTACTCTGCCTGTCATTGTGGCTTAAGGGTTTTGGTTATGGGCTAAGCTCTAGAAGAAAGACAAAGCCCAGGGCCAACAAAAAGGTGAAATCTGAATGAGTCATTTTTCAAAAGGTAACAGGCTGAGTGAAAGAATGAACCGTAATACTCTACCTCAGGATAAGGTAAGAACACTGGGTAGAGGGAAGAAAAAAAAATCTCCCCTGAGATTTATATCTGCATACTGACACTAAAACAAATGCATAGTCAGACTCATACCACCCACATGGTCAAACTGAGAATTTAAAGTGATCGCAGAAGTGATTCTGGGCACTTAGTAGTAATAAGTATTAATGCTGTCTTAATGAAAGCAATTTAAACCCAATCTCAAAGAAGTTTTATAAATAATGTTTCAGTAATCTTGGATTCATTCAGTCACAAAGATGAAAAGTCATGAGTAAATCAGGAGAAGCAGCAGATATTGCAATTACTGGATGAGTGTTCAAAGACATTTAAAAAACAATTTTAACACTTCTAAAACATGGCATTTCAGTATTTTACTGGCAATGTTGGTACAAAAAATGGTGTGTCTTTCAATACTTGGCTTAGATTGGCTGAAATACAAGATATGTAAAGTAATGAAAAAGACAGTATTAAACAACGAACGAGGCTATTAGAAATAACGGGGCTGCCCCGAGAAGATAAAATACTTAGGAATAAATCTAACCAGAGATGTAAAAGATCTATACAATGAAAACTACAAGACACTACTGCAAGAAACCAAAAGAGACCTGCATAAGTGGAAAAACATACCTTGCTCATGGATAGGAAGAA